TGAGGAAAAATGTCTTTACTGAAAGAGTGGTTAAACATTGGTTGAAGAGTGGTTAATGCTGCCCAGGGAAGTGGTTGAGTCACCATCCCTGGAAGTATTTAAAAGACGTGTAGATGTGGCGCTTAGGGACATGGTTTAGTGGGCATGGTGGTGTTGGGCTGACGGTTGGACTTGCTGATCTTAGAGGTCTTTTCCAACCTCAATGATTCTACGATTTAAGATCTCCTTTTTTAAGATAAAACCAAGCAAAAACATGTGAAAGAAGGACTGGGAGGAAACGGTTTCATTCCAGGCAAAATTTAAGTAGCATGATCAATGTATGAAATACAGACTGCACTTAAGATTAGACAAGATTAAATTCTTGACTCTGAAATAATATTCTAAAAAATCACCTGTTCCATTAATTCAGAGATTCACTTTGGTCACTGAAGGTGACCAAAATATTTAGAATATTCCTAAAAGTGTTCTGAAAACTTGTGTCAAAATCTGAATTAATATCTAACAGACTGATTCATATACACTGTACATAATAAGTATGAATAATTACAGTACTTGCTGCAGGAGAAAAGAATCCTAAAATTATTTTCTTTCTACACAGTACAATTTCAAGAATTAAACTAGATTTTTAAATCCAAGCATTCCCATGACCCAGGGCCACAATGCTTCTCTGCTTAAAATATCAGGACAAAATTACTACTTTTTATTCCTGACCTTCCGAGATTAAAAGCTAAGTATTGACGGTAGCTGAATATCTCTCTTGAAACAGGGGAAGACGCACAACACTATTCTTAGTGCGACTGGCAAATGAGAGTCAAACTATTCAGAAAAACCAACTGCCTTAGCCCTAGATAATACTATATTGTGGGATGAACAAAACTTTGCTAGGCAGCAATATGCCCTGCCATGTATCTTTATATAATATCCAAAAGTAACAGTGAATGATTTAATAAAAAATCATTCTCTACGGGGGCTCAGAACACAGCAGTATCTACTTTCAAAGAATATCGCAGAGAGAGTTTTTGTTAGTATTTTATTGAATGAGCACATCAGCAAGTAAAATTTTAAGAAAAATCTACACACAGCTTCCTAGAAATAACAGTCCACAATTCCCCCCTTAGTTATCTTTAACCATCTGGTTTTCATATTCCCCAAGCAGCTTATACAGATTTCCCCCCACCTTGTGATTTTTCTGTTTTGATTATTTTAATAAATAATGGACACCACAGGTGATCCTAGAGAAAAATCCACATCTCAGCACTGCATAGCTGGACAACTAAGTTCACTGGATGTCATCATCATCAAAGAGATCTTCAAAATCTAGTCAGAAAAGCAAGATAAGGTAAAATTAACCTTAGAAGTTTCAACTGTTATATATGCATATACTCCACAAGTACAGTTTTTAATTATTTGGATTAAGTACAGAAATAAAGATGAACTAAGTGAATGAGAGTTACTGTACCATCAGTTACTAGAAGTGTAATATCACAGTGGGAAGAGACAGAGAGGAAAGAAAGGCAGACTCAAGTATGTGGGAGTATGCCTCTACCACACAAATTAAACTGCTTCACTTGTACCATGCAAGCTTTGCAATTAAATTCATGAAAGCAAAGTAAAGCTTCAAAGGAGGGGCTTTTATAAACACGATAAGTAGCCATCACATTCAGAGTGGATCAACCATGATTCCCAGACTCCAGAACTAAACAAGTACTAGCGTTATGCATGCAGCAAGTCTCAGATACAGACACTCCTGCAGAATTCTGGCTTTAGGTCATAGTATCCACGCACACGATTATAAATTTTGCAGATTGATGTTCACATTTGTAATTTGCTGTTAAAAATCCCTTCCTTAAAAAACATTTCATTGCTGTGAAGGTGTTAATAACATTTCTCTCTCAGAAAACTCGTCTCGGTCAGACCAGTGAAATGTGTCCGGCTAATCACAGCTGTTCTAGTCATCTTTGGGAAGTACTCTCAACTACTTGGCTTTGTATCTTCTTTGTATATTGAGCATAAACTAACAACATAACTGAAACCAAGTCTTTGTTCTTACAGAAGGAATGTACAAGTGCCATACAATAAACTGAGGATTAATCCTCATTTAGAAGAGTCCTAAACTACCAATAGAATATAATACCACAACCTGATGGGAGAACTTTATGGAAATACTTACTCCTGAATATGCTGGCTCCAACAAAGAGCTAGGTCCCTCACAACTATTGAGAGTTGAACTTCCTTTTTCCCCTGTATTCTAAGTCTCGAGCAACATGAGAAACCTGCTTTATTTCAGAATTAATACCAGTTTGTGACATCAACACCACCACAGCAACCAGATTTAATAACGTATCTGAAATTCACTATTGACATGTCTAAATATACTCCTTAAGAAACATAAAACCCCCCACCTTAGTAACCAAGTGTAAGGTGTTGCATATTCTACCCCTAAGCGGCCAGATACATAGCTGTTCCCCTCTCTAAAAGCAGCTGTATACACTTATATGCATACAGTTGACTTTCAAATGCAGAAGACATAAACCCCAATGTTTTATTTTGCTTTGGATACATATGCATGCATACCTTAAAAGATTAAAGAATTATCTATAACGTAGTAACACCTAGAGACAATTTGTAAAGTTCTGTCCACATTTATATATGTATTTGCGCTGTTTAATATAAGCTATTTGTTATGCAAACAGATCAAGGCGTTTCTCCTTGTAGTGGTTAGCACGCCAAATCGCCTAAAACCTGCAGGAGAGGAGCAACACAGGCATTGTATCACTCCCACCCGCCTCATTGAACACTGAGGCACTCTTACCATAGCGCTCGGTACAAGTGCGGTTAGTGAGAACTTTAGCGACTACCAGGCACCAAAGACATGAGATTAGAGAGAAACGAAGCGAGGTTTCTTTTGATAACTTTCAGTTTCTGAAGCTGTAACCTGGCAGGCCCAAGGCGTTACCATCCTCGCGGTGACCCCCTATCCCCGCACCCCCGGAACGCGACGGCCCTTACCGTTAAAGAAGTCGGCATGCACCGCTTTCTCGTTGGCGGCCAGGTCCATCAGCAGCCCCGTGCTTCCCCCTGCCTGGGAAAGCAGGCGCTGAGCGCCTCCGGGCCGCGGCCGGGCAGCACGGCCCCGCCACCATCC